GAAACATAGGTGTTCTCATTTAATATTTTTCCTAACTAAATTGCTTACATTTTTTTTGTAAAGTGAAAATCAGGCCCATGCAATTCAGCTAATAAATAGTGTAATCTTCACACTCCCTAGTGTTTACATACAAGGCATGGGGGAACTATTAAAAGAGCACAGTATTTCTAGAAGAAAAATCATTCTGAAAGGAGGAGGACAAGGAATAAAGGTATCTCTATCTATAACCAACACAGGTTCCAAACTGAAAAAGTGAAAGGGGAACATGGAATAATGAATCTGTTAAGAGTCTGTTAATAGTTAACTTGAATAAAAGCTGCTAATGATTTTTTAAAGTCCTGAAGGAGTTTTTAAAACATAATTTAATGTTGGAGTTTTTTTCTCCTGCACTTTCCATTGCTGCCTGTGGACCCTAGATTTAATCAGATTTCTCATTCTTCCTAAGACTTTATGGAGTCTGTCTTGATTTGCAGCCAACCAAAGCACTTTTAATAATGTATGGTAAAAAGGTTTAATTTTTAATAGACAAGAATGGGCTAGAGCTACTACACGATGTAGTAGACTGGTAAGTACAGTATTATACTCCACAGAGTAGTTAGTAACAAAGAATAATGTATTTATATCCCTAACATTATTGAAAACATGTTTATTTTATTACTAGCACAAATGTATAATTGAAGAATCTGTCTAATCTGGAATTATTGTTCACACCTTATTTACCAAGAGGATAAAGTAGTTTTCAGCTTGTTACCATAATAACTCAGGTTTCTCACTGTTTTCTCTCTCATGTACTTCAGCTGCTCCAAAAGCTCAAAGAAAAAAAAAAATTTTAAAAAAAGCCCCAAACAACTATTAAAATGGGAAGTTACACATTCATCTTCTGGATTCAACTAACTGAAGAGGAAAATATCTTCGAATACTGGAGGCCGATTCAAAGGGTTTATCCTTAAAAGAAGATTATTTGTATCTTGACACTTGCATGCATTTGTCTTTTGTTTACTACTACCCAGCTAACAGGAAAGCTCAGAGCTATATGTAGATGAAAATCTGATTTAAAACAGAAGGTCTGATTCTGCACATCAGAGAGGGCTGTTTCATAAAGGCTGGTTTTCCTTACCAAGCTATAGTACTCAAAGGGGGTTATCACAGTAAATTCCCGTACTCTCCTATGAAATCCCAAAAGCTGATGTAATGCCCCATTAATAAAAATACAAATTATTACTCTGCCCACAGTAATTGTACAGATGTTGAGGCTTTATACCTGTCGTATTTCAGCAGAGTCATTCCTGATTTAGCACTGGTTTCCTAACGACATGAGGCAAATCTGTTTCTTTGTGTGCAAGTGTGCGCCTGGCCAGTCACCCCTGGTACCTTTCAAGTCTAGAAGCCAAGTTCAGTTGAATTTGGGAGGGAGAAGTCTCACTGAAACTCCACTTTATGATGCATGGCAAGAGGGGATAGGCATGGGATGCAGGGATCCTACGGTGAGGTGAATCCTTGTCGGACCTCAGAGAAGACACTTTGTCATTTACTCTTCAATCACAAAGTCATGAGAAATCAAGCTTCACTGGTTCCCCCAGCCACTGAAATATTCCTTGTCACTGTGAGAGCGATACCAGGCCTATATCCATATACAATGTCAGGATACTGAGGGCAGTGGAGTGCTTAGAGCCATCAGTAGCCTGGGCAAATACACCTGGGTGTGTGCACCAGAACTGAAGCACAACACAGTGAAGCCAGCACGACCCACTGCATGCCATAGGAGTGGGTGAAAAATGAAGAGAATCGCTTGCCGATGAAAAACATTATGCATTTTTAAATCTTCTTACTTCAAAATGGTCCACAGAATAGGTCATATAATACACAATGGCAAAATGAATATATTATAAATGACTTATCATTATGGAAATGTGTGGATGCTTATTGGTGGCATGAGTCATATAACATGCAATTTTCACACAATATGTTGTTAATAATGGATAAGGATTTATCAGTACATTCCTATATAAAGAAAGAGTCACATTAAAACTTCTTTCTCTAGAATCAAATAACTTACTATGCATTGAAATGCCTATGAAATTTAGCTACTCTTGCCATTACTACTAATTACATTTTAATGTTAAATTTTTAAAGTAGATATACATCAAATCACTGCAGTAACTCATCACGGATCAGATCCACCTTACTGTTGTAACACTAAGCCAAAATAAATGCTCTTTCCTGTGCCTGCGTACACTAAACGAAGAGAAAGAAAGAAGTAAGCACTACCTTGCTCTAGTTTGTAGTGTGCACCTGTAGGAAAACTCTTCAAATTGATCAGGCATATTTCACATGCAGATGGGAGGGCTTATTGAAACGATTTCAGTTATGGACAAGTCCTCCAAACAGCTTGGCCGGTGAGTGATGTAAGACAGGAAGACAAAACAAGTGTGGGGCAAGAGGCTAGGAACTCAAAAGTTGTTTTCAACGATATTCAGAGCCCGCTCCCCTCCATACGTCTTCATCAGACCCTTGGTGGTGCAAGCAGGAGTTCAGGAATCGGCAGCCCTCTTCCTCAACATTGTTCATTGCCACCAAAAAACGAGTCTTCCCTCCGCAAATAAATAATTGTAATAGATCATGTCAGGATGCCTCAGCAGCCTCAGTTTGAAGTCAGTTGAGCCAGCTTATGCTGCTACTGAAGATGCTCTAAACACAGTAGAATCTGCAGTCACATTGACCAAGAGTGCTGACATCATCCATTCTGATACTTGAGTGCTAGGGTCTGGCAAATGCTTCCTCGGGAAAGATAATGAACAATCACTGCAACTGCTCGACTTGAAATTTCCAAAGAATTCAGCCATCAAAGGCAAATTAATCCATAAGAAAGTACAGGGACATACAACTGTCTGACTGCCTGGCATGGAAAACATCTGAAAACTTCACTTCTTGTTGATTAGAAAAACAACATATATAGGAGACAAACCGAATGTCCTAGGAATGCCTGATGCAGCATAGACAACAGCATTTCATTTTCCTGTTCTGTCTAGGAAAAATAGAATTTGTATTTGTGCCAAATAATGCAGGAGAGTTTTAGGATCTTGCCAGTTCCATTTAATTTAGAAAGTAAGTATCTTCACGCAGTTAACTGAAAGACCATTGATCAAGAGAGGTTCATAAACCAGCAGCTAGGTAAAAGGAAAGCCCTATGGTAAATGACCATGTTAGATAAATAATTGTGCATGAATTGTACTCATTATTGTCTTTATTGTTACCATAAAGAAAAGGAACTTGGAAAATCCATCTGTTCCCACAGATGGAAGCCCCCTGACATGAGGCTCCAGAGAGTGAGGAACCTGCACTCAGACCTCAGTGAAAAGAGACGATTCCTGCTCCGGGCAGGCCAGAGCACTAAGAGGACATGGACTTCTTTTAGAGATTTCTCTATTGATATCCTCCTTTTATTCCCTCTGTTCTCCCCCCAAATTGGTCCAGATTTCCAAATATCAAAATTGTGGTATCCCCAAAACTCCATTTCCCTGCCAAGAATAGTTACTATTTTCAAACAAACAAACAAACAAACAAAAAAACAAAAACCCCTCACACAAAACGCCAGGAGCCACTCACTCTGAGAGGAAGGCTAAATACAAATTATGCTTTCTTACTTCATACATACATTTGTTTATGTATGCACATATAACCACTCTTCGTGATTCATCACCAGACCAGTATCTTTTCCCTCCCCATCAACCACATCCCACTCTAAAACAACATCTTGTAGAACAGTCTCAAAGAAGGCAAAGGGGACGCATTGCCCCTTGAAACTATGCAAAACTGTGCTTATTCTCATCATATGCCACTTTTTTCCAGCAATTTTCTGAAGGAAGCACCAGATCTTTGAACCCAACATTTTCTGCTGTCAGCCAGGGCCAGAAGGATTGCACACAGCAAAGAAACAAAGAGGAAAATAATGTAAATAGTGTGTACAACAAGAAAGGAAAGCGGCACACAAAAGCCAGTGATTGATTAAAATGCATTCTTTTCTCACAGGGGCTCCTAATTAGCTTGTTAATACCATTCTCATCTATTTTAACAATTTAATGGTGTCCTGTCACCTAAAAAATGAGGAGAATCTTTCCCACCTTCTCCACCTGAGGAAGTTCACCTGAGAGAAACTGTTCCCTTTTCACTTCCAGCTCTGCCAATGCGATTTCCCTCTCCCCTGGGAAGGGAGGCGCTTCCCCACACACTCTGTGCCAGGAAGGTCCCCCTCAGGGACCAGTAGCCAACCATCTGCATAGACACCACCTGCCCCTGTTGCCCCAGCTCTGCCCACATAACTGTACTTCCAGATGTTACCTCTACATCTGGCTCCCAGGTCAGCACCCTCATCCTGCTGACCCCTTAGTCTGAGCCCCAGATTTGCCCCAAGGCAAATTAACACATTCGATTTAGAGCATAGACACTATGTACTTCAACAGATCTCGTTGATGCACAACATCTCTTATAATCTGATCAAAAACTTCAAAAGACAGCACTTGATTTCAGTGGGCCGAGCGTTCCTAGTTGTACATAACTATAAACAAGCATTATATGGTCCAAAAGGATCATCTAAGCAGAAGAATACATACGTGGAGAAAGTTTCCTTTCATCAACCTTCTGAGGACATTGATACAAAAGAAAGAAACAAGATGGTGAGACGGTGATAGAACATTGTGGTTGTTTTAAGTCCTTACTGTTATGGCTCTCCAGTTTAGCTAATTAAGAGATATTTCATCAGAAGGAAATATTTGTAACATCTGCATGTCCCTAACAAGAAGTTATGCTGGTTAAAAAGATTCACAAAAAAAATTCCCAACGTTCTTCAAATACATTCCAATTACTTCTCTAATTAATATTAGGAACTGAAGGTTTGAGACTGATGTCATAGTAAACAAAATCTTTTTGTTTTCTGACCATATAAAATGAAGGCTGTTTTCTTTTCTGTACAGATTCTGAGGTCTCTAAGTAAGCTTAATTTGAGAAAAATGAAAGTGATTTCAAGCAAGAAGTTTATTCTATTTGCTTTAGCTACAATGGTCTGTCTAATATCAAATAGTACGTGCCTAGATGTACTGATGAAGTCCAGCCTGCAGAGCAGAGAAGATGATGACGATAAGTATTACGAGGTAAGATCTGTATTACTATGGCATTTATCAGGGGGGAACTGTGGGCCAGATCCTAGGCATTTCAATTTTTTTGGCATAAGCTTTCCTAACCTCATTGCACACTATTCAGCATTACAGCAGCAGCAGTATGAAAAAAGCTTGTTTAAAGAATTTTCAGGAAATTCATTTGCTCGGACACACATACTGTGTATATCAATTCATGTTTCAATTTTCTTGCAATATAGCGTTGCGAATTAGGTTGAGATTTTTTCTGAAATGTTTCTTACTTACACAGTGGGGCCTCAATTAACATTCCTGTCAGGCATTTTATGCACATAATATAACAGATACATTATTAATCCAAAATTAATAAAGGCATGCTTGTAATACTCAAAGAATAATGATAAATAGAGAACATTTTAAATCTAATATTCAGTGGTCTTAAAACTCTGCTCTGGAAATTGTCTATAAAAGTATCTTTGCAGGGTTGCACATTCATTATGTCTCAATAGATGCCAAATGAAATTTGCACAGTTCATGTGTATTACTTTTCTTGCCTGCCCTGCAAATACTCCCTGGGAAATGAGAGCCAACCTCCCTCTTTGACTCGTCATCATCGGTGTAATAAAGATCCTTCAAACCAAAATGCAACTACGCTAGTGAAATCCTCTAGTCTTCAGCTCACTGACTTTTATATACTTCAGAAGGGGTGTGCAGGTGCAATCAGAGGGATAGTTTATTTAATGTTTTAATCATGGAGTATGAACTCCAACGATTCATTCCCCTTCTCTCCCAGTAGCTGGAGAAGTGCCCAGGGAAGTCACCAAATAGGGACAAGCAACTGAAATTAGTACTAGTAGCACTTGTGTCTTTAACTGTAATTAAAGAATTCATTTGTATTTATTTGTTGTTAAGGCTTGGTAACCTGTTTTAGTCACAAAAAATATGCCCAGGAAGGAGCACTCCTGTATAAGAAAGGATCACATTGACAGAGCTATTTTTCAGGCAACAGCTGCCCTTTACATTCTGAGACAGGCAATACACTCAGTTCTTCAATATATGGCAGCATAGAAACAGAAAAATAGGTTTTGTGCCGGTTGCACATTAACTGGATGTTCAGAAGCTCCTAAAGCATCTTCTGTACTAGTGGTGGACTAAAGCAACACCAAGCCCAGGACAATCTCTGTGCTGCAAGGCCAGAACATGTGTGATGTGGACTAGAGCCAAACACTTCCCATTCATTTCCCTGGCTGTTGGATATTAGGACAGGTTGCTGGGATAAAAGCATGCACTCAATGTTGGGAAGAAACGAGCTAGTTTGGCCCATCCTCCTGTTCCTCCAGACCAGGTGAGTAAGAGGCTGGGTCTGTGTCAAGTCACTAAATACAGTCAGCGTCTTCCCCTCCAGACAACTTCAGCTGGTGATATTATGAACCTGACAATGATTCCTGTCCACACTTAATTGGTGGCACAGGTACCCACACCTATGCCCCAAAATATTTCCAACTGAGCAGTTGTGGGTACTGGCAGGGAGATGTGCTCTTGTGGTCAGTGTACCACAACGTTTGCACACAGAGTAATCCATATGAAGTAGCTCACATTAGTGGAGTTTAGCAAATACAGCTAGAAAGTGTTAGACATCCAAAGGAAAGTATTACCCAGCAGCTCTCTAAGAAGATATGAAAATTAATCCTTTGTGTGACTGGTAGCTGGAGTTATGTCCTATAAAATGACAGTATCCTTTTTTTTTAATTGGTTTTCTTTAGATTAAAGACAGTATCTTGGAAGAAAAGCAGAGGAGTCTCAATTTTGAAGAAACGAAAGACTGGGGATCAAAAAATATCATTAAAATAAACCCTCCTACAGTAAACAAGATGCCAAATTCAGTTGCTAATTTACCTCTTAGGTTTGGAAGAAATTACCTGGAAGAAAGAAACATTAGACCAATTGCTAATTTGCCTCTGAGGTTTGGGAGAGCGTTTGGAGACAACATACGTAGGCATGCTCCAAGGGTACCACACAGGCTTGGGAGAGCTCCACTTGTTAAAAGTTCCAGTCGATCACTTCTAAATCTGCCACAGAGATTTGGGAAATCACTGCCTGCCAATCTGTCTCAAGGCATTCAGGAATCTGAACCAGGTAATACTAGCCAAGTGTTCAAGCCACATATTAAAATGCATATTAAATCATAGGTTAGCAACCAGACTTCCTCAAGGGGTATTTCCTAAGCATTTCAATGAGTCCCATTTGCCATTTGCAGTTCGTCAAATCAAAAAGTCTCATCACAAGAACTAGTAGATAATCTTTATGAAACCTTTTTTAGCAAAAAGTTGCCAAAAAGCCAAAGCTGAAAATATTCATATGAAACGATTAGGTTTGACAACACTTTTTTAGATCAGGTTTCATTTTGAAAAGTTAAAGCTTTGGTGAAAAAGTTTCAGAATCATTAAAATATCTCATTTCAGCACTATAAAGTGACCAAACAAAATTACCTAAAAATTACTCTTCCATTTTCTAAATTTATGCAAATTAGAGTTTAAAAAAAAGACAAAATTCCAATCTGAACTGCATCATTTTGAAAATGCTGGGTTTTTTCTCATCCGAACCTGGTGGGTTTTTTCAGATTGTCTTACCAAGGCCATTTTTGAGATTTTGATGTTTTATTATAAGTCAAGGTGAAAAAATTGTTTTGACATCTCGGAATTTTTTTCAGGACAGAAAAAATATTTCCTGCACATTACTAAGAATAATTTAAATCAGCTCTTTTTGCATTTATACCATTCCAATCTGCTGCTTTAGCTGAACTGTCCATTTGTCTTGGAACCAAGTTTCAGTTGGCTACCCCTGACTTACATCTGACACATGCGTAAGGTAGAAGTTCAAGCCAGGAAAGATAACTGATATAGCAGAAACCAAGACTCTTTCTTATTTAATTTGATTCCTTTCATTCCTTTCTCACTGTCTCACCTGATTATAACAGATTTTATTTGTCTAATACTTTTAGGGATATGAATTCTAGCAGTTATGTTAATACTGGAGTCAAATCATGAAGACAGAATCTGAAAGACTTGGAAAAGCTGCAACATGTTTTCAAAACTAAAGGTCATGAAAAGGAAACATAGAAGAACTCAAATGCAAACCTGTCATCACGTTATGAATAATGTATTTATTCTGTACAAACCTTTGATGTGTAAGGCAATGATAATTGTAGTGGTTTGCTTCAGTGGCAGTGTAGTAAAAACTCTATTTACTTCTGTGGAACTTACGTCCTGTTGGTTGTAAAACCTAATTTCAGAACAATGGCTGTATAACTGAAAGCATTTTAAGCAAAATAAAACCAAGCATAATATGAATAAAGAAGCATGGTACAAATAAAAAGAAGCTTGCACTGTGAATAACAAGCAGAAGCAGGATCAAAACCACCAGTATCCTTTGTCTCACATGCAGCTTAAGAAAATCAAGTAAAATGTAGGAAAAGCACTTTTCCTGTTGTTTATGGGTCATGTGAGATATAAATCTGAAAGGCAACTTATCAAGAATTTGCCACAAATAAAACCTAGCTTCTTGGACCCCTACAGAGGAATAACATCGAACCAAAGTCACATCGTAATGCAATTGTCTTGGGTTTTGTATCTGAGGTAATGCCCTCCCTAATGTCCTACAATACCTGCCCTGTGGGTCTCCTGGTTCCTCTGTTAATGTGAATGACATTACAGCTACCACACACACTCAGAAGGAGTTACTCCATTATAAACCCTTATATCCATTCCATATTTCTTATGAAAACTATTCCCTTTTAAGTGGAATGTTGTGTATTTAGTTTTCCTCCAAATTGGAGTTTTCAGTGAACTTCGAAGGGAAGCTGAATTCACACCTGTTTTCAGGGAAGCCAAATCTGGTGGACTGTGGGATCTAAGGGATTCCTTCTTCTGGCCTCCAAATGCTGCATTACCTTGACACCACCTCTGGCAATGGTGAGGCTATGCACCCCCCAAAATGCACACCACACGTACATACACACACCGTGCAACCACGGCTGACTACCAACAGACAAGAGAGCTGCTCCTTTACAGTCTCCACACACACCCCAACAAGATCAACATAAACGCACAAACGGGCTGATTCTCTTCTCACTCACATGCTCATCAAGCTGACATCTTGCTAGTAGATCCCAAACACACACAAACGGGCTGCTCCAGTAGCCGTTCCAGACCTGTGGTCTCTCCAGCAGCTGGTTCTCAGACCCCTGTTCCCTCCACTGTCCTGACCTGTGGTGTCTCTGGTAGCTGGCTCCCACACCTCCCGCTCACCAGCTAGTCCAGCTTTAAAATCATATTAGAATCACACACACAAATGGCTCCCTTCACCAGCAGCTCTTAGATGTTCGGTCTGTTCAAGAGCTGGTATCCAGACAATCCGTCTCGCCAGTTGCTGGCCCTCAGACCTGCAGGTCCCTTCGGTCTCTATCTCCAGCTGCTGACACTCAGACCACTCACTCCACTCTTGAGCTGGCCTGCCTGGAAATCTGCTAGATCTCACACACACACACATGTACACAGAATAGAGAGCAAACACACATAGGAAAACAATTATTGATTTTAACAAGAAGATAAGACACGCTGTGATGATCAGGCACAGGGCATAGCCTGACAAAAAGTACTGACACCAGCTTGACTGCATGCAGCCGACTTCTTTTATCCCCTCTTCTTCTCCATTTTCCCATGCTTGTTCTTCCCCCATCTATCTTGCTCCCTCCCTTTGACTGTCTTTGGCTGTCCCCTAAACATCCCCAAAACACCTTGCATCCCTTAAAACATCCCATAATAAGTTTTACGTGATCCTACAAGCCCTTTCAAATATCCTATTTTAAGTTTGCTCTTTCCCATGAGATCCGTGATAACCAGTTACAGAGCTCTGGCTGAACCTCCTCAAGGCATTGAGTGGTTCCTTTATGGTCTCATCAATCAGTGATCTGAGTTCTGCTCTTTATTGCTGTCTTGTTATCTCTTTTGCCTCAGGGTGTGGGTATCTCAGAGTTTAATTTATTACTTCTCCTGTCTTTTGTCTAAGTCTTTTATGCTGAATAACCAGTAACCAGATATCCTTGTATTCCACATATTTCTAGAGGAACATGGAAAAAAACTTATCAAATTTGTCCTATTTATCAGATAAATTCATAGTTTGGGACACAGCTTGAGTTGCCATTCCTCTAAAAAGTTAGTAAGGCTACTTGAAACACAACTCTATTCAACCTGTGGCTGGTGAATCTCATTTAATCCAAAGCATTGAGACCACAGTCCTGAGAATATCTAGTCTCTATACATACTCAGACTTGAAATATCAAAGAGATGGGGACATCTAAACAGATTTTACGCAATGAAATTTTACCTTTTGAAAGTAAGAGACCCAAACCAATCTTTGGGCTTCTCTCTGAGTCTCAGGAAACACTTCACTAAAGTAAAGCTGGTGAAAAACCAGTTTTGCAGCATAACACTTGGGTACTGCAGCCAAGTCCATGATGAAGGATAGTGGTCAATAAACCATGTGGGAAAGTCCGAGACTCAGCGTATGAAGAAGTCTTGTCGTTGCCCGCAACCAGAACAGGATGACACTCTTTAGTCAAGAAAACTGTGGGACCTTTAAGTGATTTACAGTCGCATGAACAGCGGAAGGAAGTGCCCTGAACTTTGAGTTGTGTTCTGATCCTGCAAACCTCACTGCTCGTCATGTGAGCCAAGAGCAAACAAGATTTGTGACCATCCCTGAGCAGCAATAGAAGCTGCTTTCTAAAGGCACATATCACCTAGCGACAGGGAAAGGGTACACAGCAATTGGCATTAATGATGGCTGCTACAGGAGGAAAGCAGAAGCCCAAACACTGGCCCAGCAGCAATTACAATTAGGTTGCCCTCCTATTGCAAGCTCCTCAGCACAGATACAGGAGATGGCTGTTGATTTATTTTCCCTCAGCAGAGGACGAGGTAGGTGAAAAGTACATACAGGAGGAATTATGCTTTGCTGGGCAAAATTTCTGTTTGACTTGAGAGTATATGAGCCAAAAAAACAATCATGGATAGTGCCATGGGAGGAGAAGGGGCACAACAGGCAACATACATTGCTACAGCTATTACTCACCACATTATTTATTATCCATATACTGATATTATTCATGAATTGGGAAAAAGCAAGGAAAGGACTCAAGTAAATCAAGCAACAGACTGTCGAGGCTTACCGGCATGAATCCTAGTAGGGTTCAGGAGTTCCCAGCCTTCCTTGCAATACATGTAATATTTATGTCTCTTATTAAAGCCTCCATGCAAAACCAACACCTGGCTTATTTTAAATCCTGACTTAGGCTTGCAGAGAGTACAGCTGACAATCGACTGATTAATTTATAAGTCCAAGGCCTCATCATGTTGTTGATTTCAATATATCATTTGGACAGATTTAGTGGAATGTAAAGAGACATTGTTGTTTTACCCTCAGAATAAGCCAAAGACTTGGGCATCTGGCAGTTGAAATCTGTCAGTTTTAAATTCACTCCAACTGCTTTTGCAACTGTCTTTTGCATTTTCTTCGAAAGACAACAACTGGGCTAGCCTTGGTCATCACAGACCACTAGAAATTTCCAAAACTTAAATAAGACATTTTAAAAATAGTCCCCTCTTTAAGAGTATCCATTGGCAAGAACTGGAAATGTTTTTGTTAGCGACGTCCACCAAAGTACCTCTGGCACAGATGCATGGATGCCCATAGACGTCCAACTCACACTTGTCCTGCTCTCTTGATGACATAAGGTGCAGAAGGGCCTCAGCCAGTGCTACTCAGAGCTTTTGTAACATAGAATATGAATGAGAAAAATCTGTGCTATTAGGAAGGGGAAAAAAGAGGCTTAAGATATCCTTATGTGTATTTTATCTCAAGAATGATGGATAGCGTATAGTACAATTTTTCTTCTTTTCATACCTACACATGTGGAACCTATGAAGTGATTAGCCAAAAGTTCAGTCCTATGGACATACCTAGAACCATATCCAACTAATATTTTGGTGAAAACTGTCAAAAAAAAGTGGTTTTCTTACAGATGTAATCCCAATTACCTACTCAGAGCCCTAGAGTTAACTGGTGGAAGAAATATTCTAGGCAGGCTTTCAGAAAACTTTTATATATATATGTGGGCTACCACTGTACTTGTATTATAAGGAAAGTACATGCTTATAATAGTTTTCTAAACCCAGAACGTTTCCCATGGGCTTCCCATGGGGTCACAGTCTCCTTTGGGTATCTACCTGATCTGGTGTAGGATCCTCCACAGGCTGCAGATGGACATCTGCTCCGTCGTTACTCTCCACAGGCTGCAGGGTGACAGCCTGCCTCATCAGGGTCTTCACCATGGGCTGCTGGGTAAATCGCTGTTCTGGCACCTGGAGCACCTCCAACCATTTCTTCCTCACTGAATTTGGTGTCTGCAGAGGTGTCCCTCTCACATATTCTCACTCTTCACTCCAGTTACAACTGCTCTTTCCCAGCCATTGGCTTTTTTCACCTCCTTAAATATATTATCACTGAGGCACTTCCACTCTCACTGATGGGCTCAGCTTCAGCCAGCAGCGGGGTCCATCTTGGAGGTGGCTGGCATTGGCTCTGCAGGACATGAGGGAGCTTCGCACAAAAGCCACCCCTGTAGCCTTGCCACTAGGAAAATCTTGCCGCACAACCCGATATAACGCTGAATAGAGCCAGTACAGTCTGATGATCACCACGTGCTGTTCAGTCCCATCAGGGCTCAGCTGGCCTGTTTGCATGAACTAGTGCAGGAGAACAGAGAGGAACTTTATTACATTAGCTGCTTCTCTTAGCTGCTCAACTCTGTGGGTACATAAAATGCAGCTGCATCTTGGGGTAATAAAAGTGTTTCAAATTAACTATATTATATAATCAATATGGAAAATTTTGTTTGTGGAACAATGGAGGCAAACTTTCTTTGAACCCTGCTGTTCAAAGAAGGCTCAAGGAAAAAACAAAAGCATATGTTAGGTGCTAAGCTTGTCTTTGAGTGTGGTTACCTTTTTGACTAAGTACCTACTTGCCCTTAGAGACCATCATCAATTCTGAGAGCTGTGAGCTTCCTTTCCCTCAAGAGGCATTTCAAATGAAATGGCACGGCCTAATTCAGCAGCTGATTTCTTTTGGCAGCTATGAAGGAAAAGTCAGAAGTTTAATTTAGATGCTTGTGAAGAAATTAAATACCGGTGAAGGTACACTGGGGTTTCTACCGTATAGTTATACTG